GATACAGATACAGATACAGATACAGATACAGATACAGATACAGATACAGATACACGCACATGTCCTGCACATGCTATGTCCTGCTGCTCTCAACCCTCTATCCTTCGCCTTCGACACTCGGTCTTGGCCCTGCTCAATGAACCATGATCCGCATCCAATAAACACTCAATATGCAATTCAAATTGACCGGAAGAACAGTTGCCCCTCACCCCATCGCCCTCGCCCTACCCTCTGGACTCCTACGCAGGATCGCGTTGCCTGCGCCTGGGAGTTGGCTAATGGGTTGACCGAGTAATTGCTGGCAATTGTGCGCCGAGTTGCGCTTGTCAAACACCTGATATCCGTATGCATTGAGCCGTGTCAAAGGTGTGTGGAAAGCGGCCAAAGGACGGAAAGGGCCGCAAAGCGAAGCGAAGCGGCGCGGCGCCGTTTAACGCATGCACAAAACGTTTCCAAGTTTCCAAGCCCAGGCAATTAATAATTATCGTGTGTATAAATTTCATGGGCAATTGCCAGAGCGAGATGGAGTTCGGAAGAGAGAGAGAGAGAGATAGAGAGAAGGCGGAGGCGGCAGAGGGCGAGCGGAAGCCTTGCGTGGGCGAGCCTTTGCGCCGGCGCGTCTTTTGCCTTGAACGAGGCGAGGACGCGGCCCTGGTAGAAAGCACTGCCTACAATCCTAAAGAAAAATCCCCAGCCCTTCCCCCTTTAGAGCAGCCCTCGTCACGCCCCACTCCCGCTGTCGCCCCCTCACCTGCTCTGCCAGAGCCGCAAAGTAAATTTGTGAATGGTTAATGAAAACTTGCCCAAAGAACAAAAAACAACTACAACAGCTGAGCTAAGAGCAGGGGGTTAGACAGTGGCATGGGTAGGGGTAGGCGTTTAGGAGTGGGGGAAGTCCTAGGGGTTGGGGTGCAGAGCTGGTCGGCGTGCTGGCTCATTACATTTAATGAACAGGTTGCCCACGGGGCCAGGTGATGGGCAAATGTCATAAATTGCTAGCGAGTTGAGTCTACGACTAGGGCTAGCGGTAGGGCCTGGGGGTCGCTAGTTTGGGGGCGGCTTTTTCTCTATATAAATTTACATATATATAGGATATTTACACGCAACATTTGAGCCGAGTTTACCAAATATTTACAGTGATTCGGTGGAAGCAGAGCCGAAACAACTTTCATAATTTGTGGAAGCCCCAACCCCTAATGGGGATAGCCGGGTGGGAGGGGGCGGCGAATTAATGAACCTTGAAAAATGTGTTAAAACTTTTTTATTATTGTCATTGCATTGCCATATTCACATATAGACAGATACGTACACCCCACAAATATACAATATATAGTGCATGTATGTAAACTTCTCTAGAAAGTGGGACGGACCTAAAGGGCAAATAGCTCCGCACACTTCGGAAACGCCTAGAAACGTAGAAGTTTCCAATTAAAAAGTTCTCGAAGTACAAAGAAATTCTATTTGAGTTTCGATTAAAGGAATTTGTATCGAGTCAAGCAAGTGAAGAAAATCTTAGATTTTCGACTTGGCATTCAGAGCGACCTTCGAGAGAGAGAGAAATCGTGTAGGGAGTAATGCTAGGGGGTATCCCAAGTATTTCAGAGATAAAAGATTGTTTCGAGAGGTAGCGAAAGAAAGCGAGGAAGAGAGAAAGAAAGGGAGAGAGGAAGAGGGAGTCAAATGCAGAGGAACGGAAAAAGTAAAGAATTGCAATAAGAAATTGAATGTTCAAAAGGTAGTGAAAGAAAGAGAGACAAAGCTAGAGAAGTATTGATAAATAAATATAGATAGATAATAATACCACTCTCACTTATATAGTAGTAATAATATATAATAATTTAGTCAATATATAAAGAGATTAAGGAAAAAAGATAAATAGAGAGAGAATGAGAGAGAAAGATAGAGAGACAAAGAGAGTGTAAGAAAAGATAAAGAGAGAGGGACAAGAGGATGCAAGTGAGAGAAACAGAGAGAGAAATTGGGTAATCAGAAAAGAAGGGCGAAAGAAAGAAAGAGATGGAGGGAGAGCGAGACATTCACGCAGAGAGAAAGACAGAAAGAGGGCATAGAGAGAGAGAGAGAGAGAGAGAGAGAGAGAGAGAGGGGAAAGCAGATATCCCTAGATATTTATATCTTGACGTGCGAAACAACTTGTTGAACGACACGAACAACAACTGTAAACATTTTTGATTAGCAACAAAAGGCGAATCGAGGAAATGGCAAAAAAGTACACGAATCCAAAAACAGAAGCAAAGAATGAAAAAACAAAACAAAGAACATGGCAAACGTTTGTAGCAGGTAATAAATTATTGGAACTGGAAACTTTTTAATTTAAAAGTTGTTGTTGTTGTTGTTGTTTGTGTGGTTGTTGTTGTTGCTGTTGCTGTCGGTTGTTAGCCAAACAAGTGTAAAGCCCGTAAAGAAGAGTTTAGGCAGGCGGTGCTACGAATACCCTATAGCAAGTTATGCGAGAAGTAAATATGAACCATCTATCGAATAAAATCCAAAATTAATTGTGATTTCAATCAATTTCAATCAGTAAAGTATAAAATTATTAAAGTTAATTTTGTAAACTAAAAATCCTGATATATTTTGTTCAGGAAATAATCTGATTTTGAATAGATATGAATGTGGAGGTACATATATGAAAAGTATATATAAGATGGATAAAAATATTGATATGTATAATAAATAAATATATATCCAAGGATTCTCGGACATTCCTAGCACATCCCATTGCTAGATCGAATTTACTGAACGAGCTATACATATGTATGTATATCAATCACATTTCTTGTATGGAGCTTAGCTGGATGTATACATATTCAATATATTTTTGTGTCCAGCTCTCGAATAGATGAAACTTCCTGAGATATGCATGTAAGCTAAGCTGTTGACTATACATGTATACATCTGTTGAATATACTCTATATATATCTCAATACCCTATGAAATTAGAGCAGTCGATGGGGGGGTTTTGCTGGAATTGGAATTGGAAAAGTGAACAGCGAGAATGCGCAAAGAAATGCTTGAGATTTGTTTAATTACATCCGGCATAGTCACAGCTACACACACAGGTGCACACACACACAGGTGCACATCCACACGAAATGCCATAGAAAAAAGTAGGAAAAACTACGAATTGTGGGTGGGCTCGGTCTCTACAGTTAATGGATCGGGTGGGTTGGGGTGTGCCATGCACATTGGGGGTTGCTGTGGTGGGTGTACTTACGATATCCATTGGTATATGCCAGACACCGTCAGCTCACCCTTGTCCTCGAGGGCGTATTCGATGAGTTCCGTGTATGTAAACGGTGGTTTCTTCGGCCTGCTTGTTTTGCGGTGGTTGGTGGTGCGGTGGGCGCCCACATCGATTGGCGAGCGAAAAGATGAGAGAGAGACATGGAGAAAGGGAGAGAGAGAGTGTGGAATGAGTGAGAAAATACGTCAAATAAATATTTATTAAAATGGAGTTGCGTTTGGTTAAAGAGGATTTTCGAGTCTCGGCTGAAAGACTGAGAGCAAATGTGGATAAATATATATCTGAGGAAATATGTGTCTATAAATACTAGCTGAACCGGTCACCGTTGCTTTGCCACATCCATTAGTTCTAGGGAATACAATATAACTAATTTACTCTAAGTACGCGGGGATGCAGTTAGAGTCGAGCAACCGAAGTAAGCTTTATCCCGATTGGCTCATTCTTAAATTCAAGGGCTTGGCAGCGCGGGCATTCCTTGACCACTTTGGAATGGACGTAATATTCAACCTCAGGCTCATTCTGAAATGCTAGGCGAAGAAATGAATGTGATGCAAGTGCTCGATTTACGTGTCGTCGTTGTCGTTCCAATCCTTTAGGTATCTGCGCGCGTCTCTTCGATCTAATCGCCTTTGTTTTCGCTCTTCTCTCGAATTAGCCCCCTTGCGTATTAGTGACATTCTTGGAACTGGAGGAACTGTTTGGTGATGAACAGTGGCGTCATATCGCATTCGATTGCTCATTATTAGTAATAAAACGCGTATATTTGTTAATCACGTTCACGTATCAATCAAATGTGCACGAATAATGAGAGAATGACCGAAAACTGACAATGTTATCAAGCCTACTGGGTCGATTCTCAATGACAATGCAAAGAACCTAAAGAGCAATCAATGCTTCATTGCGTATTGCGTCAAAACAAAAGTGAATGTCAAGTCAAGTGACATCCATCGCATCGTTTAAAGTTATTGCCATGAAAACTAGATGTTGGCCGATTATCAGAGCTACCCGAAATTTGTATATAAGACGAGAGTCTTTATGAAACTGCTTAAATGGGCAGTGTAGGAGATCAAAGAGTTTTGTTTAAGACATTTGTCAGGCGAGTCAAAGGATTTCTTCAAACTCTCTCAGATTTTTCACAATTGCTGAAAGCCTTATTAAGTCGATTGGCTACGCGAATTAATTCCTATATAGATTATTCTGAATCAGAGCAGACGTAAGTAAATAGTCAAAAAACTTGTTGATCTCTAACACTAGGCCTTCATGGACTCAGATATATGAACCGAATATTTCGTATCTTTCATTGATTATAGATGTCAAAAAAGAGGGAGTCTTAGAGAAATATTCTGAGGAAGCTTCCAGATTATCCCCTTTGTCTCATCTACATAAGATCCCTCGTTAGCAGCAGTTGGCCGCTGGCTACTCGTATGAGTAGAATCTTTCGCCTAATATGCTCTTGCTCAATTTCTCCCACTTTCTCTAGAGCAAAGATAGGAAAATTTGTTGTCGAACTGGATTTCTTGCGATTCCCCATGGAGGACAGCTGGCTATGTTAGCTGTGTCGTCTGCGTAGCTGACCTAGGCAAGCTTTTCGCATCTGATTTGATCTTATTCTCCATTTGTTCTCTAGAGTAAAGACAATTCAGCAAGGCTACTTATAGAGAAGCTATGTTTGCTATCCTCTCAAGTTTTCCTCTTCTGTGACCTGCTCTCTTCCGACTAACCTAGGTCTTCCTACTCAGCTGAGCTTAAGCTAAAGATTTGCAATACCAGCTTCACTTTTCTTCTTCAGCTCTTGTCCTTCCATCTCCCTTCTAATAAGGACCAGATATCAAAATCTACTAGGTTGGCTTAGATTCATCTCTAATCTAATCGTGATCTCTCTATGGTTTGGTCTAGACCCATCTCTGTGCTCTTACAAGTTCTGTGTTTGTCTTTGTTCTCCTTCACTTTGGATTGCCCCTCTTATATCCCTCCCTTGGCCATTCGCTACTTACGCTTTGGATGCTGTATCCTCGACCACAACGTGCTCGGCGACAATCATATCGTTACCGTCCATCTCGGAGGTGACCTCCATGACCAGCTCCTCGAACTTGCGTCCGGTTTTGGTTGGCGTCGCTGTGGCTGCAGCTGCTCCCGTGACTCCTCCTGCAGCTGCTGCTGGCGTTGTGGCTGCTGCTGCTGCCGTGGAGGAGGAGTTGGAGCAGCTCTTGGGCGAGCCGCGGGGCTCTAGCTGGGACGAGTGACTGTGACTGGAGTTCGATGCGGAGGCCGGCGAGGCCGAGCTGCAGGGCGATGCGCTGGCCATGTGGGCGGTTGTCGCCGCTGTGGGCGTGGCGGCCTCCAGGCCCACGCCCAGCCGCGCCATGCCGCCGCCCACGTCGGGCGAGAGATGCGGAAACTCGTCGAACTTGAAGTTGAGCAGCCACGAGAGATTCTTGTCCTCGAAGTCCGGCTCCGGCGAGGAGCGAGCTGGGCAGGAACGGGACTGCGACTGTGCTGTGGGCTGTGACTGTGACTGTGACTGCGACTGGGGCTGCTGCTGTTGCTGCTGCTGCTTCTGTGCGATGGGCACCAGGAAGCCGTTGCCAGTGGCCGGCAGCTGGAGCTGCTGCTCCGCCTGCTGTCCGTCCAGCTGGCTGTCCGGCTGATTCTGCATGGGCGGCAGCGTCGCGTTCAGCTGCGAGATCTCCGTTTGCAGTCCCGTCGTGTAGCGGTGATCCAGCTCGAGCAGCTCGCCCGCCTGCCAGCCCCCGGCGTCCGCCTCCAGAGGAGCCGCGGGCGGGGCGCAGTAGGAGGCGGCGGGCACCAGGAGCTGATTGTCGTAGGCGAACAAGTCGTTGATGAAGGCCGCGCTGGCCGTGCCGCTGGCGCTCGTGTCCAGCTGCAGCTGGAAGCACAGATCGCCGGCTGCCCCCACACCCACGCCCACACCGACTCCCACTCCAGGAGCGACGCCGACTCCGTTCACATCGTAGTCCAGGTGGCGCTTCTTCCAGGGATTCGCGTTGAGCTGCTCGTAGGGCTCCTCTAGTTGGGTTTCGTATTTGCGCTTGAGGAAGTTGAATTCGCAGTTCGAGGGCAGCGAATTGTTGTTGTTGTTGTTGTTGTTGTTGTTGTGATGGCTGGAAGTGTGACTGGAATGCTCAGTGGAATGCGGCTGGGCGGCTGAGCTGTTGTTGGGCCCATTGACGGGCATATTGACAATCATTTTTCCTCTGTTTGCTGCCTTCTTCTTCCTCTTCTTCTTCTTCTTCTTGTTCACTTTTCACACGAATTCGCACGTCAATTTTTCACAGAGCACACAAAAAAAAGAAGCACCAGCAGCGAGAGAGAACGAAAGAGAGAGCGCGAGAGAGGCAGACAGCGGGAGAGAGAGAGACAGAGACAGAGAGAGAGAGAGAGAGAGAGTTTGGAGTTTGGAGTTTTTCGGTTGAGGCCAAAGGAAACTTTTGCGCGTTTGGTTTCCGTCTCGCGCTGCGACTGGCCACGGAATGCGGCTGAAGGATTTGACGGAAGCAACATTTGGCCAGGAGCTGCGCGCTGCCAGGATGGGCAGCGACTGAGGCAGCGCTGTCACTATCTCTATCTCTATCTATCTATCTCTCTATCTCTCGCTCGCATTACACTCGCGCATTCAGTCAAGCACAACAACTATCGATGAACCCCCTAGCCAACTAAAACCCTAGCCCTAACCCGAACCCAAGCACGAGCCCACGACCTTTTAACGGCACTCAAAAGCGTGCTCTGTCGCATACCCTGTAAGCTGTGCCCCATGGGGTCTTTTGCTTAAGCAAGACAGTTGAATTCCATATACCCCTTGACAGGGTCAAATGGGGCATATTCATCAAGTGTATATACCCTGTTCCCCTTTCCTCAGTGGGGTTGATTCGATCAATAATCGGGCGTATATTTACTCTCTTTACAAACTCCAATGGGGTATAGTTGCTGTTGTGGACAGAACAGATTTGTTTACTTATGATATATCTATATTCTATTGGAGCGTACTCATTTAGACCTTAAGTGCTTATGCAATCGGCTCTCAGTTTACATAAAGTTTATCACAAGTATACCCTGTAATATGGAAGATGTTCACAAAGTTGCCAGTCAAAGATCATTTCTTATTCGTAGCAGGAGAGCTAACCCAGCCCTTATTTGTTATAGGTATTCTTCTAGGCTAGACAATGATTTGCAGAGTAGTTCACCTATTGAATGCATATACCCCATTCGCCCAAGATTTGCATCTCTTGATTGTCGTTTTCGTGGCTGGAGTCCAGAGATTGTTGAACTGCTCAACTGCTTTTGCTGCTTGTGATTGCAGGGTATTTACTAGTCGCGCACTCCCCACAAATAAGGTGCTCGCCTCTCTTTGGTTCTGCTCGGTCGCATTTTGCCCATAATCGAACATGTGCCACCGAGCTCTGCTTATGTAGATGTGTATATGTATGTATATATGTATATATGTATATGCATAACTGTATATGTATATGTATACTCCAAAGGCAATTTTGAGGACTTGTCGACGTAGCGCAGGGCTGAGGGCGTTCATTGAAGCGCCTAATCGAACACCCTGTGGCAGACAGCCTGTCGAGCTGCCCCGCGCACAAGTGTTGCGCAGTTGACGATAGAGCGGGAGGGAGAGGGAGAGAGAGAGAGAGAGAGAGAGAAATATGGATAGGAATAGAATTTATCTCGAGAGAGCGATAGAAAGAGAAAGAGAGAGAGAGCTGCCCAAGAGATCTTGCGTCGCAAAGCAAAATAAAAATATATTTAGAGGCAATATTAGTTGAGAGTATTACGAAAACTAGATTAAGAAAAGCACATATAAGGGCCTTAAAAAAACAGCTTTAATTCATTAATTACTGAGCGAGAAATGATCCGATAGAATTTAGCCTTATTCAGGAGACCAATTATCAGTACTTATTTTATTCCCATTTTCTCTCAGTGTAATTGTCAGCGGAACAAGATGTTTTCCCATTTTCTCCGAGTGTGGTTGACTAGAAAACCTGAAAACATTTTGAGCGCATTGTAATGGATAGACTATAATTTTGCAACTCTTTTCTCTCAGTGTAATGAACATGAATACAGCTTTAATAAACTTTTTATTGATTACAATCTATCGAAAGCATTTTATGGCAGGTATTATCCACAAATTTATAGAGTTAGTTACTTGTCGACTGGTTTTTGGATCGGAAATGAGTTCATATAGCTCCAAGCATGATTCACAGGGCGCGAATGGATCGTACCGGATTGGAGATGTCGAGTTGTATGTGTGTGTGTGTGAGAGAGAGAGAGAGGCGGGAGAGTAACGAAAAAACGAAGACTCATCACAAACGGATTAGAAGACGACGCATTTGGGACTCCCGGCTAAAGTCAACCAAATAAAATGATAATTGAAAACTAGAAAACGCGATTTATTAAGATGCGATGCGAAGTGTGTATACCCTGACCTGAGAACAATATGTGATATACTTAGATGGATGTATAGAAATCTATGTAAACAAAAATTGTAAATCAAGAAATTATTTTTATAGATCTATCTACATAATCATTTATGTATATAATTATATGCCTTGTCTAGAGTAAATCGTAAATGGAATAAGAGAGAGAGAGAGAGAGAGAGAGAGAGAGAGAGAGAGAGAGAGAGAGAG